GTGTGTGTGTGTGTGTGTGTGTGTGTGTGTGTGTGTGTGTGTGTGTGTGTGTGTGTGTGCAGGCGGGGGTCTCACCAGGGGCAGCATGGCCGAGGCGGTGGGTGAAACCTGTCCTCTGTAGTAGTTGTGGAGCTCCACCAGCAGCTCCTCCTGCTCGTCGGTCAGGAAGCTCCAGGCTCCAGGAACCAGCAGGAACCCCAGACCCAGCAGCAGCAGCAGGGTCCAGGACCAGGACCCGGGTCCAGGTTCCATCCTCAGCCTCAAGCACCAGGTGGAGGGTCCATCCTGGGCAGTCTGTGGGCTCGAAGCCCCCTGCAGCTGGTGCATGATGGGGAAGACAATCCCTGGAGGTAAATCCTGAAGTGGTCCAGAGTCCAGTGTGTGTGTGTGTGTCTGTGTGTGTGTGTCTGTGTGTGTGTGTGTGTGTGAGAACAACAGTGCTGTTGTGTTGCAGTTGTGTAGCTTCGTGTGTTCCCTCCTCAGCGCCTCTCTCTGCAGCTCTGCAGAACTTTTTCTTCCTGAGTGAGTTTTAAACAACAGGATCCTCCCTGAGTGACACACACACACACACACACACCCCCCTTCGTAAACCACACCATCAGCCCCAAACGTGAAGCAGCAGAAGTAAGACAGAAGCGTGTTTGAGTCGGCGCCGCCTGGTACCAGCAGACACTCCCACTGTGTGTTTGTGTCGGTCTGCTCGACGTGTTTGTGTCGGCTTCTTCTGCTGAGCTGAGCATCATCTACACAACTTCCTGAGCTGAACATCCCAGTGTTTCCCAAAGTTGGGGTCGGGACCCAAAGTGGGGTCCTGAAAAGATTTTCTGAATTAATTACATTTTTGTCTTAGTTGTTACAAAGGAGTGAGGTTAGTGTATTTAAAATGGATAAATGTAGTATAAAAATATTGTTACTATGTCCATGTTTAAGTGACCTGATACAAACGTTTATCATCCAGAAACAGTTGGGGGCTCAGGTCTCTGCTGTTGTTATTTTGTGGGTCAGAAGACAAAAAGTTTGGGAACCCATTGTCTACACAACCTCCTGAGCCGAGCATCATCTACAGCAGTGGTTCCCAAACTTTTTATCTTCTGACCCACAAAATATTCATGGCAAAAACTTGTGACCCCAAATATTACTGGTTTGAGTACACAAACTGTTAATAACCCTAAAAACACAGGCTTTTTGACAATCTAAACAGCTTGTACACAAATATAAATACTTATTTTTACTTCTTGTGTTTTTGTAATAATTATAGGGAAAATATTACAGCAGCAATTATTTTATTACCCTTTAAATTGATTTCTGGAGATTATCCAAGGTGCTTCATGACCCATAATTGGGTCCCAAGCCCAACTTTGGGAACCAAAGTGCAGTGGTTCCCAAACTTTTCAGCTTCTGACCCACAAAATATTCATGGCAAAAACTTGTGACCCCAAATATTACTGGTTTGAGTACACAAACTTGATTAATAACCCTAAAAACACAGTTTTTTTGACAATCTAAACACCTTGTGCACAAATATAAAT